CTTGTGTTGGCTTATGATATTTATACATTACTATTAAACAACACAAGACTTTTATGACATTCTGCACTTCACACATTTTATTGTTATTAACATGTGAATTTCTCATCAGCTGCCCCATACAAATGCAACTCATGCATACATATTTATTTCAATTGTCGCTTTGGGCCGCTGTGCAGGCAGGCGAAAAAATGCCGCCTCGCTGCAACGCTGCTGACATTGAACTAAATTTATTTTGAAAAGCTCACAACAAATCATTTTAAATTATTTCTTATGTTGCAATAACTGGGGTGAAAAAAATACTAAGGGCCGTTTTCTCAAGTAGCCTGTAACTTTAAAGCTCACTTTATATTTAAAGATTGCATTAAAATGTATGATTGTGTCTAATGTCAAGCATTTTATCATCCGTTTTAAATTGGTTTACAACCAAGATACATACATACGACATAAACCGATAATAGAAATGCTTAACTTTAGACATAGCTTTACTTTTAATCCAACCCTTATATGTATATAAAGTGAGCTTTAAAGTTAAAGGTTACTTCAGAAAACGGCCCTAAAAGGCATAGCTAAAATGCATAAAAGCAAGTAAGATTACAAAATATGCAAATAATAAAGCATACAGTACGAGATACAAACATTCATACATACATATGCCCATAAGTACAAGTGAAAAACTAACCACAAAAAAGTGGCGCGCACGTTTTTCTGGTGCCTAATTGACTAGATTGTGCTTTCATGTGTCTGCTCATCAAGCCCATCGCAGCAGTCACATGCAAATGAATGCTTATACTCCTATGTAAATACGTATGTGAGAAAAATACATATCGGGCTCTCTTTTGCCCTACATATGGAGCTAATTAGCTTCATAGCATTTGAGCGATCAGTCTTTGCACATTCCATTAATATTTTAGATTCGTTTGCTTAGCAACGAACAGCAATTTTAAACAAAAAAGAGAGATCCATCTTTCGATCCCGAAAAATGTAAGCAATATAGGAAGTCTAAAAACGTAAATTGAGAAAATATAAAACAATTAGTGAAAATGCAGCGAGAAAAATCGTACTAAGCGCGAATTTACAATTGAAGCAAAGGCGCACACAATTACGGGTAAAATTTTTTAACGTTTCGTAATACGACAGCACCTTCGGCTTGACAACAATACGCGAATAAATAATCAAACATGTGAGAAGTGAATAAGTGCGCTAGCGAACAAGTTATATATTGCGATTACTTCGGTATTTTGCAAGTAATAATCAATGCATCTACTGATTAGAAAATTTTCTTGGGGTTCGAAGTCTACACTTAGGTTAGAGTCAACCTGGTTATAGGTTATAAGATGATTGCTAAATAGTAGATATCAGTTAATAAAATGGAGTAAAGTTGTAAAAGAAATCGTTCGGCTAGGTATGCTGCTTCGGCAACTCAGAATTATTTTTTATTAAATATCATATTTTGCTAGTGTAAGACCTTTGCACCTAACCTATCATTGCATTAGTAGTTTCATTTAGCAATTTTAAAATTTTTGAACTTAAGTTTTTTAGCAGTGTATGCGCACTAGAGTGGTCTAAAAATGCATGTGTCACCCCTTAAAAAACATTTAGAGGTCGCTCAAAGCGCTCAAAGTTTTCACTGTTTTTTTATGAAAAAAAGAAAACTTTTCGTAGAAATGGATAGAATTCTTGAAAAACAACATATTTCGGTCGGAATTCCCTGTTTCTCTTCCGAAGATTCCCAATAATAATACCCAATTATTTATTCAACCATTTTTTTATAATAACCATATTTTATAGGTCCGCCATAAACGCCAGAAAATGAAATGGGGGGTCAATGAAAAATCTATAGTATTAAAAAATGGTTAAATAAACAAATGAGCGATTCCACCGTCACGGGTGGGACATTTTTACAGAAAAAATGTTCTTTCCTGTTTAAATTTAAGTATAACACAAAACAAGAACAAAAATTATGGATTTGTTATAAAAAAAATCCGAAGCTTCTCTGTCACGGGTGGGAAACGTACAAATTATTATATGAAAAGGAGATTTAAAACTGCACCTCTACAAACAAACAAAGTTTATCAGCCCTGCAAACCTACCTTTGACAAGTGTCCCAAACATAGCTGTCACGGGTGGGACATATTTCACAGTTGAATTATTCTTATCTAACTAAACACAACTTCAACTTCTGTAATTAGATATAAAAACCTTTAGTTTTTTTTTGTTGTCACGGATGGGACAAGACCAATACTGCCTTATGATAACTCATAACATAGATAAAGCAATCACATAATTCAATGTATGACACAATGTTATAAAAAGCAGATAAGTTCTAATATATATTTTGCTTACCAAACGCCATATAAATACATGCAAAACTTTCGCGCCTCTAAATATTTTTTGATTTCAAAATAAACCGGTAATTTTTAGCAAAAACAAAGCCGACTTTAATTCTCATATAAAAAAATTATATATATATCTCATGATCCAATGATCGGATCTAAACCGGGACCACCTCTGAGACACTACCTTTCCGATGCAAAAGGAATTATCAAAATCGGTTGACGTGGACCAAAGTTATGCGGTAACATACATAAAAAAAAAAAAAATATTCCGACGAACTTATAACCTCCTCCTTTTTTAGAAGTCGATTAAAAATGGGGTTATATTTTATTCGATATAGAACAATCCTAGGGGGTGAGGGCATTCAAATTCCGACTTTACTTTTGTTTTGGACCACCCTTTGAAAATTTGTGTTAGAAAATTTTCAATTATATTTTTGTGAACTACTCGACTAGATCTACGACCCCTGCTGTGTAGTAAAACCGATTTAAATATAAAATTTCTTTACTTTTCCATTATGTCAATTCTTTTACTAAATGCCTTTCAAATTTATTTTTTCTTTCATCGCTAAAATATAGTTCAAAGTTTTGAGCCTCATCTTTAGAATGCCGCCCTTAAAAAAAAAAACAAATATAAAAAAATATTTTCAGTAAACTTTAGACTGTGTACTCATTTACTTTGGAGCCTTTAAGCACCTCGTTTACACAGTAATAGAAAGAATAATTATTTTTAATTAAAATCGGGGAAAGTTTTCTCCTTCCCTTTTGTTACAAATGACTTTAATTAAAACTTGCATAGGAATAGCTATAAATTAGCATTGCAAGCATACACATTCAAGCTGCTTTTAACCCATAGCGCTCTACGAAAAAAAAAACCTGACCTTGACACCTCAGCCACTACAACAATCATGAACAGCGTAAGAGCCGCTGAAAAGCAGGCTACACATTGTACTATGCATTTCTTCACAAGCTATGCAATTAGGCAAAATGCGGACAAGTGTACTTAAAAACACGTCATTAGAGAGCTTAGGACTGCAGTGAAAAGTAGAATTAACAATTCAAAGCTGAGAAGGCAGATACATATGTTTTTACATATCCATAATACAAACATCCATACTATATAAATGTACACAGTTAAGATTGTGGATATTATTTTTGGAGGTAAACTTCAAGTGTGACTAGCGCTTTAGCATTTATGTGTTATAACAATATATCTGATTGTTTGATGGCCGCTCGCGCTCAGCATATAGTACTAGTATAGTGCTAAGATTTGCTATCCACTGCGGACCTTAGACAGCAGGAGAGTCCTTTCTGACAGCAGTTGCCGCCCGGCTCAAAGGCGTTGGAAAACTATTGAGTATGCTATGAAAAAAATCAATCTCGACAAATCAAACATAATTTAAGATTGCTTATTCTCTATAGAGGTGTCCAAAATTTTAACACATTTTCATTAAAAAAAAAAAAAAACAATGCCATACATTACTTGTATTTTCAGTTATAAATTTGTAAAAATTTAATGCGCAAAAACGCAATAAAAAAAAAAAACAAACAAATAAATTTTCGAACCAACATATTCCTTCACGAGCTTTCGTGCCCACTGTGCACGACAAATTTCAAGGTTGAATCGCCTGCGATATTTGAGCAGAAAAAATCGCTATTTTAGAATAGTCAGCCGAAAGAAACACGAAACTGGGCAAAGAGCGCGCTACTGAGTAGCACATTTTTAGGGCGCGAATAGTGGGTGGTTGTTAGTTTGGTGATGTGGACGACCACCTTTTTATTTGTTTGCACATAAGTGGATATGTTTGTATATATGTACATATATATGCACTTTTCACGTTGGCTGCCAAAAGTTGCCGCATGAAACAAGTGTTGAACTATCTACATACATACATACATACATACATATATGTTTAGTTAGATTGTGAAATGAAAATGAAAACGTAACTAGAACACGAATGCGATGTTGTTTTCGAAACACACAACAAATAAACGAAACGAAAATGAAAGCAAACTGAGAAAGAAAGGAAGCGAGGAAATGAGAAAATGTGGAAAAAGTCGTGCGAATACTAAAGCAGCTATGTACATAATCAGTGGAGGAAGAATGGTGCCAGAAAAAAAAAAAAAATTTTCATAGCAAAATGAAAATATCAATGTCGTAGAGCAAAAACTTTTGACGCGCACAAATGTAGAATCGAAGGACGGCTGCAGATTTTTTGATATTTTATTTGATTTGTTCATATGTATGTAGGCATATGTAAATATATATGTATGCAAGTTTTCGCCTAAATCAACTGTAATATCATGTGATTAAACATTTTTTTTGATTTTTTATGAATTTTGCCTCTTTTGGTTTTAAAAAATATCTTTTAATTACATAGTCAGTGGTAGCTAAATTTATGTATATATGTATATTATTTAAACATATGCGACTCTTTCGGAAATATTTCTGCGATTACACAGTGAATCGCTCTAGCTAGTTTTGTGTTTAAGTAATATTCTTTGTAAAAAAGTACAAAGTTCACGAATATATATGTACATATGTGGGTTCTTTTAAAGTTTTAGTTTACTAGGCATTAATAAAAATCTTTTTTTTTTTTTAATAACCACAAACATGAAAATGAAAAAATTATGCGCTCAAATCATTTCGAAAACACTTGGACGTACTTTACGTAGAGTTTTTATTTTCTGCTTAATTATAATTTGATGATAACGTGAACCGGATGCGGACGCGAAACGCAAGCGGCAACAGAGACGGATACAGTGGTGACGATGGCGACGACGACGACGACGACGACAACGACAACGACAACGACGATTATGAACAACAAGCGATGTGAAACGTTGAAATCGCACTAAAAACGCCGAACTACCGAAAAGGCCAAAAGAGTTGGAGAGTCAATCAGCCAGCTACATTCACATGTGCATAAATACATACATACACGTTTATACTAATGTGCCAAGTAGCCAGCAAGGCAGGCGGGCAATCAGTCAGCGAGCCAGGTCGGCTGGCCAACGCCGATTGCCGATGAAGCTGAAATCAGCACATACACGCATGCATGTGTTGGTATGTGTGCGTGTGCATGTATGTGTGTATGTGCAAATTGCTGTTGTTGTAGTTTTTGCTGCTATTGCAAAGTAACCCGACTAGCAGCAGTCGATGTAGCTGACAGCAATAAAGTTATAAATTGAAACAGGGACAGAATTTTTAATAGAAACTATTTTTTTTTTTTAAGTACAAAAACACGGAATGCACACATACAAAAAAATGTATAAGGATGTACGGTCAAACCCGCTTAAGTAACCAATATTTTTGTTTACCGTGAATTTTTTCATTACATTTAAAGAAATTTCCACTTTCCAGTACCATTCCTAAGTGCACCCTATGTCAAAATTATAAGCGCCAAATATGCTTAGTATGAAAGAAAATGCACAACACCGTCAGTGAGAAAAAATTGCTAAAAATAAACGGCAAATACCAGGTACCACAAACTTCCATTTTTTATCGTAAAATTGTATGGCCTACAAAACTGCATACTCAATAAAAATCTGGTTAAAAAACTTTAACTTTTTACGAAAGTTTGTTGATTTTTTTAATATTGCACAATATTCGAAAATGGGTTTTTGCTAAAGAATAAACTATATTTTCATAACAAATAACTGGATAATATTAAATAACAAAAAATTAATTATCTGAAATTGTCAATTTGTAGTGCGCCTTTAATTTTGAAGCGAAGTGTAATATTTCATATTCCATTTACTAGTTTGGAGGGTAAGAGTGTATATATAGCTAGATCAAACGGAGAATCAATTTAGTTTTGACATTAAGGCCATCACCTTTTATACAATTTCGAGCCTTAACCGCCAAAAAACGTAGGCGACACTTTTTTCAAAATTATATTTTTGATATAGAAATGCATCTAGATGCTCTAGAAACATTTCTGCAACAAAAGAAAATTTTTAAAAAATATTGCTTACATCATTTTGCCAATTACTTCTCGATATGTACCTAAATACATCATAAAGAAAAATAAAAAAGTTATGTAACTCGTATATGAATTCAAAAGCAGCTTAGACCAGCAGAAATTAGCATTTTTCGTTGAGTGAGGTATGTTTGCATTTGGCGGCCACCATAGCCTAGTGATTAGAGGTGTGTCCTACAACATTATGACGCATACCATCTTTGGTAGATATTTATGTACATATGTACTTTGGTTGCCTTCTGCCGAAATCTGTAGAGAGCCAAAATCATTGAAGCCACAAAATTACTTTCATAAAAAGAAATAAAAGATAAAAAAAAAAAATTATTTTTCTTGAGTAAATAATTTGTATTTGAACTCGACCAAAACACATTTTTGGGTTTCTGCTTTTCGGTGTAATTTCCAAAGACCATTTTTGACTCCATTTTGGAAAAAATCTATTCAAAAGAAATTTTTTTTTCTATTTTTGTTGAATAAGTTTTGGTCAAAATAAATAAGAGACTGCAGATCATCAGTTTTAAAATTAAAAGTCATCGTTATTTTAAAAGGCAAATTGTATGAAAATATGTACATATGAATGTACTAGTGTCCGACCGAACGCAAATTTTTGTCCGAAGCCGGGCCCGAACCGAACACTCGGCTTTTTTCTTAAAGTTCGGCCGAAACCGATCCGAAAACGAAATTTTTAAAGCAAAAATTAAATAGCTTGGAAAAAATCAGTATGTACTTTTATTCAGTGCAGTGCACGCGATGCACAAAACGAGATTACCTTCGTAGAAACGTCCCCTAGTCAGATTGTTTTAAGAGAGAAGATGCTAACAGAAAATATTTAGAATTCAGAAATCAAATTCGTTTGACAAAACATATACGAATACTGTTATAATCTACAACTTTTATGCTGTTGCACTTCTATACTTTAATATTGCTAAGCTGTAAATATAATTTTTGACAACGTTAACGATAACGATAACGATTGGTAAATGGATAAAAATATCGGAAACCTTATCGATGTTTTACTGTAATGCTTTAATATTCCTATGCTGTAAATATAAATATAGATAATTTTTTTTGATAACTATATCGATAAATTAATAACTAAATCGATTATAATACCGATAGCGATAGCGGATAATATATATATGTCTATTTTTTAACTGACCACATTTTTAAGTCTCTCATGGCTAATTATTTTACTAAAAATTGTGCTTTCTTTCATATAGTTTCGTATTCTGAAGTTAACCGATAATCCAAATGTGTTAATAATTCGTATCGGCCCTGCAATCATTAGTTCTATTTATCCAACTTTTACTGTATTGCTTATCGATAATTTAATGGGCAACTATGTCAATAAAAAATTTGTAAACCCATGAACAAATACTTTCGTCAACTTATTTTACATCAAAACCCCTTAAAGCTCGCAACACTGAAATCTTCTTTTTATTAAAAGATATGTTGTTGGTTATAAGACATATGAGTAGTCCTTACCCCTTCAAAGCTGTTGAAATTATTTTTAAATGAAATAATGTCAGACATGAAATTATTTTTAAATGAAATAATGTCAGACAAAAGCCAGCCACCTCTGCATAGCAATCAAACATTCTGCCTCCATTTTCTAAATTCTTATCTGCAACTTTTAATGTTCACGTGTACATACATATACATACATACATACATCCATATATGTATGTATGTACATTAAACTTAATAAACATATTGTTGTTGCACGCTTTAACGATTTTAACAACAACTTGACACGCAGTCAAAAATTCACATACCAAAAGCTCTAAATCGCACACCACCAGCACATTTTTACACGAGCATTTATCAAAACAAAAATAAAAATAAAAACCTTAGACAACTCCAATCTCCCACATTTTGCAAGCTCGCTCTTATTCTTTTACACTCATCTACAATTGCGCGCTTTTGAGTTTAAGTATTATTTGCGTATGTTTTATTAACGTACTACATATGTATGTACATATGCGTATATTCTCGCTACTTTGTCTATACAAAAATTCTTCCGCTTTTGTGCTTAATCATTTACTTCTCTTTATGATATTCTTCTATTGCTCATTACACTACATCTAATCTTTAGGCATTGCCATATGACGTAAGCTAAGCGAACTTTATTGACTAGTTTGGCAGCGCTTACAGATACATACGTACGTGTACATACATGCATATATGTATATGTATATATATATATATATATCTCTTACGTTGGCACCCTGCAGAAAAAAATTATCAATTGATAAAAAATAACCCACTTGTAGTTAGCTTTTTTGCGGTATTTCTATAAAATATATAACCTGTAGTTAGCTACAAAAAGCTAACTTGAAACTAGTTGACAAGTAATGCAATGGGTAATGAAGGAGATTATTTTCTTTAAACGCGTTTCTATTTAAATATCCTGCACATCGCAAATACTTTTTCATATTATTATTTTGAAGTTATGTGTGACGCAGTTGGAATATGGGACCACCTACTGTAGAATATTTAAACAAATATGAAATGTAATAAAATAAGTAAAGTAAATAAAAACAAAAAAATAAATAAAAAAATAAAAAATATTTTGTTTTTCCTATTGATATTTTATGTTCAAGAGTAGTGAGTTACAAGTTAGTTACATCAAATGCAGAGGTAACCACCCTTGACTACATCTAATGCAGAGGTAACCAACCTTGACTATTTCGCGGCCATTGCCATAGAAATATATATAGTTAGCTTTCGTCGAAAAAAATATACAGATAATAAGTGACTTTTAACTCCTTCCTATTCAACTTAAAGTTAGCTTATAGTTAGATCCATTTTCTGCAGGGCATACACTACTCATGTACATACATACATATATGCATGTAGATAAGCGTGTATGTAAACATCATCTTCCAGTGACTTTGTGATTTTATTCTCCACCGGATTGAGCAAGTGGATGTACAGATGTATATACGAGTATGTATGAGTTTACATATACAGAAGTAGTTGTACATAAATTAAAAATTTTGTGTTAGATAATTGTGAAGCGAAAAGTCAAATAGCCAACAGCAATAGGAAAACTTGCCACAACTCAATGCCGCGCGTTTTAAAATGAGTTTTTAGAAATCTTTACAGCTAATCAATAAACTTATAAAAACGAAAACCAAATTTAAAGCCACTCATACATAAGTGTGTTCTTATATACATTGTTTGAAGTTATAAACTCAATAACTGAGAAATTTTTGAAAATTCCAGCAAAATAAATTTGGGACATCGTTATCGAAGTTTATTATATCAGCTAAAGCGAGATATGATTTTCAGATGAAGATAACAATATTAACATATTTTGGTTTCTATTTACATATGGTTCATTTGCTGAAAGAGCGTCATAATTGAAAAAAGCGAGAAAACCAGTCTTAATATTAAAAAGTATCAGTCTTCGTCTTGGGTTGCGGTCTGTGTAAGGGTTCTGGTTAACGATGGGAACAATTCTGAATAGTATAGGAATTCGCTCTCCTTCACATCGTCTAAATAGTAATGAGAATGAATAAGGAAGGAAAGTGAATTCCTATTCTCTTGAGAATTATTCTCATCGTTAACCAGAACCCTTACAACTACTCTACGATGAGAGTAAGTATCTATTCTCATCAAGAATGATAGAATACAAGATTGCGCCGATCAGAGAGGATTTTTGAGAATAACTTATGTGTGACGTCACACTGGTGCAATTGCGAGAGAGAAATGCCAAAACGTGAGCAAGAATGGAAGAAGAAGAAAAAATGTTGCAAGGAAAACGTAAACAAGTTGCACAAGTGTGACGTCATGCAAACCACGATTCTGTCAAATTCGTTAAGAGAGGAATAGCGGTCCGAGATCGGCGCAAC